GCCAGGATTATGAGCTGACTTTGTAAACAAACATACAAAAATATACAATTGCATAACTCACTCCTAGTGACGGAACTTCCAGGTGCATGAGTGACAAGGTTTACATTTTTTTCAGAGAGCAAACAAGCAAAGACAATAAATAAAAACAATCTGGAGCCTCTATGGAACAATCAAATACTGAACCTCTTAAATGTTTCAAAAAATTGAAAATAAATCATTAAAAACATATTAAGGGTATCAGATAATTATGAAATATTGAGGAATAAGTGATTCTATGTATACACCATAAAATTATGTCTACCAATGCTTCTGAAACACCCATCACACATGTTTCAAGTAGTTATATATGAATATCTTAAGGTGATCATTAAGAAATATTGGGTGGGGACTGTATATTTTATATATAATAAAATAGTTTGGCATTTTTATAAAACAGACAAATCAACGAAATGTCACATTTTAATTGTATTTCCGTTTGATATGTTTAATTTTATAGTTTATCTCTTAAATTAAAATATCTATTTGCATGTTTTTCTTAAATCTTGAAGTTGATTCATAATTAAACAGATAAACCATTCTTTATAAACTAATTTATGTAGCATGAAACATCAAGCTGTCACACAAACTTGTGATTGTCTATTTCTTCCTGGATTTCTGAGGGTCACAATTTCATAACCATCGAGGTCATTAGAGTAATATCTGAAGCTTAGTATGTAACTTCTCAGCAAATAATTCATTAACCCATTTGTGTGTCTAATGCAAGAAAGCATATTGTGAACTAATGTGATTCACACTTTTGCTATCATTTTTAAATTGATGAATATTTTATTACCATTTTGTGATCTTCACAATGGGGTAGCAAATGGCCATGTATGTGGCTTCAGTATTATATTGATTCAGCCAAGGTGAGCATTTTTTGATGCACACAAGCAGAAAACAGGCAAATGTATTAAATTAGTTCCAGCAATGTCTATATTTGGGAAATGAGGCAGAATAATCTAAATATATGAACTTTCCATGACATTTTAATAATCTATGTAGAGAGCAATACAAATGTACCAGATAATAGAAAACTCTTCTCGATACTATAAAATATCAATGATGATATAAATGATGGAAACTTAAAAGTAGATGAAATATTACCAATAATTAAACACATCTGAAATAGTCTTTTCCATGTTAGTCACAATAATCTTCAATCTCAGTTCAAATCTATAGCTTTATATTACATATTTCAATATAGATTTAAATCATAGCATTGTTATATCAGGTTTGCTTAAATGAAAATTTCTAGAAATAACTTATTTAAATTAAACTTTTTTTAAGAATAGGAAAATTTTATTGAGGGAAAGAAAGCTTCTGTCTAAGAGAGACAGAAGAGGGACTGGAAAGTGGGGTGCCTGCTCAGCTCACCCCACTTCTCCAAGATGTTTTATACAGCAAAGCCACATGGTGAGGAGGGTACAAAGTGGGACAAAACTATAAGACCTAATGGAAAATTACAAAGTGGGCAGGAGTTGGGGCAAAATCATGATCAGCCAATTGGTCATGGATTACAAGTACAGCCACCCAGGAAATATTAATTTAGTGGGGGTCAAATGGGGGAGCAAGTCACGTAGCATGCATATAAGAATTTTCAGTAAGGGTCGGGGTCAGGGATCTTTCCTGGAAAGGCTGGATTAAGAATTTGCCCCCCCCCAGGTGATTGATACCTATTTAGAATATCAATTACTGCTATTTATCCCTAGGGGAATCAGAAGGGCATAGTAGTTTCTCTCCTTTTAGAATTCTGGCCTTTAATGAATGTCTTGATTGTCCTCCATGTTGGCTCCTTGCTGTGTTGGCTACTTGAGGGTGGCCCTGTCTGACTGCCTACAAGGTATCTAACTCACCTATCTGCAATATTATCCCCTCTGAAGAAGTATCTCTAACTGCTGTGAGGGGGCAAAGGATGAAGATAGCTCTGGCTACTTCCAGCTGAAGAGGGTCTTAGTTGTGATCAGAAGTTAGTTACTCTACAAGGGTCTACTTAAAGGCCTTTGATAGGCACCAGGCATTGTTATCTTGGTAGCTGCATAGTTTTTAAGTCTGAAGGAGACAAAGCCAAAGGAACAGTTAAGAATGCATGAGCCATTTATAAGGTCAGCAGGATTGCTATGAATATAGCCCACAAAGAGGATAAGGAGAAGGTCCTGGCGACTTCAGAATCCAACATAGAAGTCATATTATATATTTTAGCAGTTATTATCTGTTTACAAGGTTAGTCTGGTGGATCCCAGTAAAAGAAGTCTAGCACATTTGTCATTGGTTCCATCTGTATGATTGGAGTTTAGCAGCCTCCAGGCAAGAATAAAGTAAACTTTTAAGAAATTAGTGTATGCATAATCTAAGCATGAGCACACTAGAATGAAAGGGCAGGTTGGCAAGAAAGTCACACTTAGAAATTGAAATAGTGATTGAACCTGCTGGTCTTAGATTCTTTCATTGGTAGAGGTTATCTATAAATCTGATGCTTTGTCATAAGTCTCTCTAGTTTTAGCTGTAAGATAAGAGACAATTTGAAGAACAAATTTTGCTAAGAAATATAAAACTTTAGCTGAGCTCTTATAGATTTTACCATAGTTTTTTCCTAAAGATCCACACCTATGGTCAGCTACTGGTAGAGCTGGAAACTGCCAGAAGGGGTCAGTGACTGGAGACCCTCTTTATATCTTGTTTTATTACTATGGCATTATTTTATACCTCTTTTTGTTATTTTTTTCTTCTGGGTGTTTAAGAACAAATTCAAGTGAGACCTGAGTCAGTCAACATGAACCTCTTGCTATCTATTATCAAGGTCAGTTAAGTCTCTTCACGCATTATTTTGAAGCTGTGCATATTTCTTCTCAGCTACTCTCTCAGTGTCAGCCATCAGTATGGGTCATGGCCTTGCTTGACCATGTTCCTTTCAGTAAAAGAGTGGGAGTCTTTTCCCTTGTGGTGACCCTCTTTTGGTACACAGTGTGTTACAAAGAAAATGCTATCATGATTGTCATGCTAAAATACTATGTGTGGCTCTTAATCTTAAGTTTCTCTGTAATATATAACTTTTCTGTTAACATTCTGCAGGGATTCAACTACTAGAACAACTATGGTTGATTAAAAAATAAATAAATAACAGCCCATCGAATTGTGCTTTATACTTCGAAGTGCTTAATGTCCAGACAAGATTATAATAGTTAAACTATTAATGTCACTGATCTTATCTTCTGGGTGTTCAACAAGTAAAGTTTGGAGACTAAAACTAGAAAGGTAACTGGGCTATGAGGACATCCAATATTTTCCAATATTTTGGCCCTGGCCCCTCAAGGCCTCCAAGATCCAGGACACAAAGAAACCTTTTCTACAGTATCCTACTTCTTTGGTGTGTCACTCAACCTCTGAGCAGGGAGATTGCTGGGCACCAGAGGATAAATAAACTTACTCCTGATGTGAAATATATTTACAATTCATTTAATATTGCTTTTATTTGGCATAAAGTTATATGACCATTGGAGTTTTACTTGTTCTTTTATGATAGATAGAGACACTGATAATCTAAAGTTCACACCTTGGCCTGGTATTAATTCCACATAGTGACTTGCACATAAATTCATTCAAAGTAATAACATCCTATAATATTTTTATTTCTTTCAGCTAAATAATAAATGCAACACATACATATGTATAACAACACATACATATGTAGAAAAAATTAATATCAAAAGTTGGAAAACATAATTGAAATGCCTATTGTGATTCTAAGTCAACTCAAATTTGATAGTTTTTTTTTTCTGTTTCTGAAATGCACAAACAGAAATCATCTAAATATATTCTTTGTCATTTTACATTTTTCACTAGTATACCACTTACCCAAAATAACATATACATTTTGAATATATTATTGTTTTTGTTAGTTGCTCATTTTCTTAAATTTAGTATTTAATTTTTTGTCATCTATTGCTACTAAGTAATTTTGCTTCCTCTTTTCTTTTGGTTGTACAAACTATGTTGCAAGGAATGATTTTCAAATATATCTTTGTAGAGATGTCTGTTTAACCTGATGATAATCAGGTTAAATTGCTGACAGTAAATGACATTGGCCAATGATTTTGAGTGATAAATTGACCTTTGAAAATAATTTCACTTTTTACTACCTTTAAGATGGTATAGAATATTCTGTTTTCTTTTCACCAGTCATGGTTTTTAAAATTCAGTTATACTCTTTTGGTTTAAAGTGTTTTAGTTCCTAGTGTCACTATAAATCACCCCACTCAAATTTTTTCCTAACTCTATCAATATCTTCTCCGCTATATATGACAGATAGGAACTCCTACGTAACAATTGGGTTTGTAACCATTCATTTTCGGAATCTGAATCTATTGAAATGACGATAGCAGAGAGATGTTCAGCCTAGGAAAAATGAGCAACTACAGAGGTTGATATGAGTTAAAACACCACCACATTTGAATGTGTTGAAATACTTTTAATCTGAAAAGCCACTGCTGATAAAAATAGAGCAATGATTGAAAAGTCTTGATTAAGATTTACAGATTGAAATGATTGAAACTTCTAAAACATAAAATATTTGCCCTTTGATACGTAATTTTTCAAAATCCTATTTAACCACATTTGCTATCAAAATGGTATTTTATCCTTCAGAATTATCTTCATCAGCTAAAAATATAAATACAGCGAAATACTCTTCATATTTCTGTGTTTCTTTCCTGATAAAGTAACAGAAGTTTTGAGAAAGAGAATAGATTATTCAGTAGGGTTGAGGCTTGATTCTAAACAATGGTTGGAGCTGGTGCTGATAACGATGAGAGACACTGAGGTTCACACTTGTTAGATGACTGCATTGAGGTCTGAGATGCAGAGCACTGTGACTTGAAAAAGACTCAGTGCTCCTCTCATTACAGACAAGAATAAGAACAGTACCGCAAAGAGAAAGGCAAATGAAGTTTAATTTAGACACTGACCTGAGTCCATTAAGGGATACTCAGATAACTGGATAATCGTTATTTCTGAATGTGTCTGTGATGGTGTTTATGGAAAAGGCTGGCATTTGAATCACTGCACTGAGTGAGAAAGATCTGTTCTCAGCGTGGGAGGTCATCATTAAATCAGCTCATGTTCTGGATAAAATTAAAAAGCAGAGGAAATGCAAATTATCAGTCTCTGTTGGCATTGAGACATCCATTTTCTTTTCATCTTTGACGCCAGAACTTTAGGTTCTCTGGGCTCTGGATTCTATGACTTGAACTGGTGCCTCAGTGATGGTGTAAGCTAATCTTTCTAAGAAGTGTTATCATATAAATTATATATATATATATATATTCTATTTACTATATATTCATATAAATTATATATATTCTATATACATATGTGTATATATTCTATTTACTATATATGCATATAAATTATACACACACACACACACACACATATATTCTATTTACTTTTATCCATCTACCTAACCACTCATCTTACTTTTCTGTTTCTCTGGAGAGACCTGACTAATGTAGAAATTTTGATAAATATTTTTGCAACTCACCACTGATGTAATAACTACTATTAATGTGAAAGAGGTACCTTTGTATTAAGTCTTATTCTTCTGTGTCACTAGCAATAGCATCACTTGTACACTGAGGCAGCCCCAGCACTTCATGATCCTTACTACACAAAATTAGCTACTAATAGAACAGTAGTGCTTTTTACTAAGAACACATGCATTCTTACTATTTCTAACTTCTCATAGTAAAGCAGCACATTTTTAATTAAAATATAAAACTGACTAGGATGGGAATATAATAGTTTCCCCTACTATGATTGTAAGTAACATATTCAAAAATTTAGAAATTCTAGTTTGTTTATAGTGTTATCATTTATTTTAAAACACGTATTTATTTAGTTAATTCTTTAATTCTATTGGTGCATTTTAGGTATGCAATATGATGACATTCAACATTGGGAATTTGTACCTTTACTTGATATATCTCAGTTCTTATTTTTTTCTCCATTCCCCTGCCCTCCCTTCAACCCCTATTTACAAAGATTTTGTTTCCATTTTTTCCTTTTCTCATATCTTTTCCATTCCCTTCTTCCCTTTTCCCTATTCCTTCTATTTCCCCTTCACTTTGGACTTTTTCTTCCTACTCCACATTACCTGTTATACATTTTGATCCTCATTACTCTGACTGATTCAAAGGAGAAAAATGAAAATGGATTTTGGTGATGAACCATCAGATACTAAAATATAGAAGTGCACTTAACAATACTAAGTGCATTGCAAAAATTGTGCTTGGAAGTGCATCTACAGTTACTTGATTTATACATGATTTTAAAAATCTCTGTGCATTGCACAACTCCTATATAAGTATTTAATAATTTTTGGTAAATTAATGGTTATTGATATAATGATTTCTAAAAAGAAATGAAAATGTATCACTTCACTGACAAGAAGTTTGCTAAAAATTTCACTCTGAAATATCATATGTTGGGCATCATTTTTAATGCATAAATATAAGTAACTTTCTTTGATATTCTCTAAGTGTGGCAGGCACAGCAATTCCTGAGCTGCCTGAAGAAAACTGAAGGATATTAGTTGATACTGATTTAAAAGAGATGATAGTTCTATTGCTATATTTCCTGCTGCAGCTGTGGTTTCCTTAGATAAACATTCAGTTATTGGCTATGCCACACTTGGCTTCCTTTTTAAGGCTGACTGCATTATATTATGCCAATTTGGATGCATCACATTTCCTCAGCTCTGACATTCCAGGAAGGTAGAGGAACAAAACCCACCTTAAACTTGGAAAAGGTCACTCCCAAGAATTAATGTTAACAATGCTTGACTATATCATAAACTATCTCCTGTATCCAAAGAATAATCAAGCTCCAACAATACATGGCACCTTTTTTATTCCTAAGAAGATTTAAAAATTAAAAAGAAACAAAAAGGTAGTATCATAATTAAGTCATACATTTCTCCAAACTGCAGGAAAGTTCGCGAAGGTAATAAGTAAAAGCTTGAAGAAAAATGCAACTTTGAATATTTATGTTATTGTTTATTATGAATGAGACTGACAGAACTAAATCCAATCCATCTGTTCAATTTTACCTATGTTTAAAGAAAATAAATGCATATTAAATTTTTATCTTGTATGTGTCTGTCTTTCACCTTAATACATAAAATGTGATTTTATTTGAGTATGATAAAAATTAATTTTGTTGTGATTTCTGTTTAAATAATGGGCAATAAATAAATATTATCAAGTGTTCTCTTGGATAACAGTTTCCAGTAGGCTCATGCAAATCAGTAATCCTTGTGAGGTGTATTATGTAGAAACTGACCAAGTAAATTAAAGATCAATTCAGGTGTCTAAAAACATTTAAACAATTAACAGGTAATTCTAATACACAGACAGATAATTGAATGATTTTACTTTCCTTTTATAACAGAACGAGGATTTTTTATAAGAAACAGTACATTTTCTAATCCTTCAAGATAATTAACAGAATTTTTTTTTTTAGATTTACAAAGTTGGAGTCCTGAATTTTTAAAAAATGGGCATCTGAAATGAACAGACATTTCCCAGAAAAAGAAGTAAAAGTATCAAATAAATATTGAAAAAATGTTCCACATCACTGGTCATTTGAAAGATGCCGAGGAAAACAACACTGAGATTCCACATCACCCCAGAAAGAATGGCTGCTATCAAGAAATCAACCAATAACAAATGTTGGCGGGGTTGTGGGAAGAAAGAAAGTTTTCTCCATTATTGATGGGAATGCAGACTATAGTGCAACTGCTATAGAAATCAATACGGAGATACCTCAAAGAAATAGGACTAGAGGTTCCATTTGACCCAACCATACCTCTGCTAGGCATTTTTCCAAAAGAAGTAAAAGAATCAGACTACAATGATACATGTGCATCCATGTTTACAGTGGCACATTTTGTAATAGCTAAAACTTGGAAACAGCCCAATTGCCCAGCAGTCAGAGACTGGATAAAGAAGATGTGGTTTTTCTATAAAATGGAATACTACTCAGCCATAAAGAATGAGAAATTAGAGTCATTGACAGGAAATGGATGCATATTGAGGTCATACTCTTAAGTGAAATAAATAAGTCCCACATGTAAATATAGAATATTTTTTCTGATGTGAAAACCTATAACTGTAAATAAGATCCTAATGGTATAATTGACAATATGATATAGGAAAGAAGGTGCAGGGGAAGTGGGAAGGGTGGGGGAAAGGAAATAAGGGAAAAGAAAAAAATATGAGAAAATGAAAAAAATGGAAATAAGATTTTGTAAATAGGGAAGAGAGGAGAGGGTGAAGGGAGGGCAGAGTTATGGGAAAAATGAGAACCAAGACCTGTCTTGTAAAGATACAAGATCCCAATGATGAATGTAACTGTACTGTATACCTAAAAAGTACCAACAAACTCAATGAGAAAAGAAGCAGCAGCAAAAAGAAAAAAAAAGTTTGTGCATTGCTAACATCTAAAAAAAAGTTGAGATTTTGTGCAATTATATAACTTACCTAAATTAATTCTCCTGAATGGAGCAATAATTCCAGATGGTATTAGAAATATGATTAAATATGTGACATTAAATTAACATTTTCACAGTTGAGTTCCCAAACAACTTATTAAAATGTTAACACCAGTGTTTTAAAAAATCTTCCAAAAGCAAAAGATCAAATCATACCAAATCATTTTATGAAAATTTTATAGCAGAATTTTTTATCAGAATTCAATACTGAGAAGATAAAGAAATACATGACTAAATATGAAGATACGCTCTTTGAGGCAATGTAAAGAAATAAAAGCAACATAACCAATAGCATTAACTTCAGATTCTCACCAGGAATTTAATAATAGTAATCTGCTATTAGAACATTTATCAACACTGTTTATCTTCTGAAACATTAAATGAAATAAGATAATTATATCAATTATTGCCAATAAGCTATCTGATCATCTTTAATAAGATTTCTACTTGCAATGATAAAAGAGAAAACAGGCGATGTTTGTTTTAAATTTTTTACAAAATTCAAAATCACTTCATTTTGAATACAAACCATACATTTAAATAAGTAGCAGATACATTTTGTTATTAAAATTATTATTTTAATTGACTTAAAATAACACTTTTTAAAAATTGAATGTTGTGCATTGGTGGCAACAGATTTCATTTGTCCAGGAGAGTCATTATTTCTGCCAGAAAACTTTAATATCTAGGGACTGCTTAAAAGGTATGGCCTAGCATTTAAGATAAATTTATAAATAAGCTATTTCTTCTTTTGAGATAAATATATCCATTCTATAGCAATTAACATCAAAGTAAAAGAGGTGAAAATGCTTTCAAATTATTGACAAAATCTTCAAATGTCTAAGAATAGACTAAAAATAAGTAAACTTCTCTAAGGAATATACAAAATATGAAAATATAGGAAAATACAATGTCCTTGGCTATGAAACAATGTCAATTTAACTGTTTATTTATAATACATAAATAGTAGCAATTACAATAAAAATAAATGTCTTTATTTTTGTATAATATTTAATTTCATCAAAAGGGTTTGGGCTTTAGAAAAGTCAAGAAATTTATAAGCAAAAGAGGCAGAAAATTCTGTAATATACAAATGTATATCAGAGATGTCTATCAGAAATGAATGTAAAATGATAAATCTTAAAAGCTACATTGAGTTTGATATTAAAACACATGGAAATTTCACAGTTGCATGTACTTCACAGCTGCATTAATAAATAACAGGAAAAGTGACTAAATATAAAACTTTATCATAAAGATTAACTATTAAGTGATATGTGTCATATTTAAATGTTTTCTTTATTTCTTTACCTCACTGTAGTGCTGGGTTCTGTACATATATACAGTACAAACATGCAAAACCCACCAATTTTCAATTGTTCTCATCAATGAATGTAGCTGATATTTTCTCACCATGTTTTAGTGGATAAGAAAATTTATAGTTTTGATTTTGTGAATATAATTGTGTTTTGCATGCCGACTGCTTTAACTATTGCTGAATATTATCTAGTGAAAAATACTGCGAGTGTGACAGGAAGTCTGTTTTTATTTAGATTTTTTATTTAT